TTCAAAAACAGTTTGTTCTCATCTTAAACCTATCCCGGTAATATTAGCCTATTATCCAGAATGATGAGGTTTAAAATTGCTTTCACATTATTTACTTTATTATCAATGTCTCTTATCCTCTATTTCTCGTCTAATTGACCTTTTATTTTTATATATAAATGTTTTAACAAGTATACGTGTGATCAGATTGTTCGAAATGTATTGCACTATTATATATCACATGGTTCTGATAATCTTCATCTTCTTATTACACTATCGAAATTTATAAAAGGGACCAACTGCTTTAAATTATACCTAAGATCAGCTTAAAAAATAAGGGATCAATAACTCCTAAACTCATTTCCATAAAAACAAAGTCTTGATATTTGTCAAATTATAACCAAACCACATACTAAATTCAACATTATTAAACATATCGTTAAGTAATACTAACTATATGGAATTTTTCGCTTAATTAATTTTGTTAAAGTCGTTTAAAGAGTTAAGATTGGAATTTTGTATTGCTATAGTAACTATTTTGCGATAATCAATGATGAAAGATAAGAATACATGAATTCTAGAAGTGAAATATTCGTTCGCTCGGTACATCATCTGGTTTATCATCTAAATCAAGCCTATTTACTGGATAACTTTTCTCATTGTATTTTTGTTTTAAAATTACCATCTACTTTCTCTTATTATCCACATTATTTATGTGAAGGATAGGAATTTCGTTTGTTCAAATGTCAGTTTATTTATGTATATAAGTTAAATTTAACACATTTGAACGTTTCAGTTCATAGAAATGAAAGAATTGTGTTGTTAAACTGACCGACTAGAAAGATAAATGACCTACCGCTATAAATAATTCCTATGAATGAATTTTTCGCTATTGTTATTCACCTTAGTTTATCAAAAACACAATGTGAATACCTTAAAATTAATACGAAAACGTAAGAGTCCTGTTAAATGTACCACAGTCTACCGTGTTTGAACGTATATTTTATATTATATTTTTACGATAGGTACATGTATACGTGCATAAATGTTGACAGGAGAAGTTTGCGAATTGTCTCTGTCATCCATTTAAAAATAAAAATAGCTATTTTATCCATGAATATTTTTTACTGGTCTTCTTCATTTACTTTGCCACCTTTATCAGTATAGAAAATGTTAACTAATCCGCTCTTGATAAACAAGTCTAGTTTAGTTTTAGGAAAATAAAGACAGTTACTCATAGATGAATAATTTCACCAACAGATTCAAGCATAACGTATGATATTTATATTGCCATTCTCTTTTTCATATTAAGAAGAAAGATAGCTCCTGAGTTTTAGTAAATAATGTTTGTAGGTAAGCCAAATAACTTGGTTAAGATAAGAAGATTGCAATGTATTCAGTATTGAATAACATTTAAAACTTACTGGATTGATACAAATATTGAAACTAAATATTCCATGATCAAATATCTTAGCCACTTTGTTTGATTGATTTACGCAGCATCATACATCATGGTCGATTTATTTTAATTCAGAAATAATAAATTTGTTGGACTAAACGTTACACTGCCTATTTAGCCATTAACGGTATCATTAAGTTGAATTAACGTTCGTCTGTACAGAAGCATATAAGTAAATTACTTATTATAAGCAATTCTCATTAGGATTGGAAATGTGTAAGCTAATCGTTTAATTTTTTGAGAAATTATTCATCAGACTTATATGATGTACATATTAAAACAAAACTATAGGCACTCTATTTTAGTTGTGAATACTTTATGCTGAAATAGTTATTTATTGAGTATTGTCCTTGATCATTTGTTAAAATAGACATACATTTAATGTAATCTTCCAATATATAAACATTCTATTGTACCTGTGTAATAGAGATATGTATCTACTTAACCTGATATACAAAATACACCGTTGGAACTTGTCAAAACTAGGTTGTATAAACATTCAATAAAAAATGATATTATAAATTTTGAAATGGAAAGTTTATCATGCCCACCTTCTCATGGTAACCACAATAATGATGAAAAATGGTCGCATTTTAAATCACTTTTATTTTTTTTAACTCACTTTTGTCATATCGTAATTCTGACTTAGTATTAAATTAGTGCTCAATTCGTTGTTTAGTAATATTCTAAAGGTAAAAGTTGGTCAAGACATTATATTTGTTCTTCTCATTATTATATTAGAGACCTTCATTTGTAAATATTTGATAATTTTTGAGTTTATTTTTATATAAACTAATCGAATTGGATTGTTGCTATGTTGTTGTTATTGGCTTTTTTATTAAAACAATCAACCAATTAACCTTGAGATCGGGCATTTTACATGTTCTTAAAATACTTACTAATGAAAATAAAATATTCATTATGGTTATAAAAGTGTCAAATGTCAAAGTAATGTAAGTAATTGATCGGTGAGACTATAATTTATGGATGACATTTGAGCGACGTTGGAGTGACCTTGATAGTGTCCACCTAATAACCAGGACTAAATGACGGTTATAAACCAGGGTGAGGAATTAGAATTATGAGTTACAGTTGATGGTTAAGGTTAAGAATTAGATATAGGGTTTTCATCACGAACTGACATCACTTATAATCCAAAAACTCCATTTAACCAAATGAATGAGTGAATATCGCGCCAAAATCCGAGACCTGTTATCTTATACCTGATTGCTTCGTCCATAAATTATAGTCTTGCCGACTTAAATTTTGACACCAACATAAAAATTTGAAAAAACTTCAGTGCACATTTGATTGTATTAACGAGATTCTTTCGTTAAATGTTAAATGGCTAAACAAAATTTACAAACAAGTTTTTATTCAAAAAAACAGAAGTACATTTAGTGAATTCTCTTAAATTTTTATGTTAGAAACGATTTTGTTAGTTTAATGGTTGTCATATATCGAGAAGTTAGCTACAAGTAAAATGTTTCCAGGTCAAATTAATTAATTTTTTTTCAAATAGCCTTGAACTGAAAATGAATTTAGTGCGTATTGATGATAAACAATCATTACATACAAACTTTATTAAAAAGGGAGTCTTGTTGAGATTGTAGCAATTTGATAGTCGAATTCATAAGTCCATTAAAAATAGACTACTATGAAAAATTTGGAAGCACTGGACGGCTCATGAGTTTAACTATTAAATTACTACAATTTCCACAACACCTCTTTCTGATAATAATCATCATGTGTTCAGTAGTGACTAGCTTCAAGAGGTATTTCCTGAAGTTCTAGTGAGAAGCCGTGACCAGTGGAATTCAACCGTGTCTGTTGTGAGATATTAACTCACTGAAGATAGTGGTGAACGGTCACATAATATCGTGGATTGGTTGAAGATAAACATCAACATCGTTGGATACCGGCTCAGGGGTCTAGTGATTTAGGGTTCGCGAGCAAGACTGAGTCCCTGGTCCAAATCCTGCGGGCGGGATCATAAGTGCTCACTACTGAGGTGTCCCATACTAGGGCGAAACGGTCGTCCATTGCTTCCAGGTTTTCCATGGTGATCTTGCTTTAATTGACTAATGAATTCAACTATTAAATTATTTACTTTTGTTAGTGTTTTTTCCTTTTGGAATCATGAAGTAGAAGTTGACTACTTTAGCCCTAAACTTAATATTACTCAAAATTAGATGATTTTATATTCATTAGACTGAAAGATTTAATAACAAATAACATCAGACTTAACAACAATCCTACGATTAAGTCATTGTAATCGATGTAAAACAACACTCTTCCCTGTTAATAAATGAAGTCCAACATCTATCCATTACTTAAAAGTTGATGAAAGATAATAAAAACTAAATCTTAAACAGGAGATCTGTGTTTCTGTACAGTAATTAGCTTTTGCGGAAAAAAGCTTACTAAAAGAATATATCCTATTTCAAATATTGAAATGGAAGATATTTGTAGACGGTAATCAAAAATATGACAAACAAAATTGGATGTTCAACATGAAACCTAAATATATAAATCGGTTCGCCATCAAATTATAATTACGGATACATCATGTTTTTGATTTTAAATTAAAGTTTGCTAATCAAACAATCCAATGCCATATTTGTCAGTGTTATTAAACATAAAAATCCACTTCACTGTTTTTTTGTCGACTGTTTTCAGACAATAAGTGGATTGATTTTGATTGCATAAAATATTTTTTCTTAAAAATTAAACTTATATTAGTGTTTCAGGTTACAGCACTCTCACAATTAGAAACCGGTTTATTTATGTAAACATCAGAATCAAGGTCAGATTTGAAGATTTCAAATAAATTATTCATGAAGTGGATTGTCAATAACACAAAATGATAGACTTTTAATATCCAGATGAATAGGAAATTCCATGTCAATAACATTTACGATAAATGAATTAAGCATAGACAATTAGTTGTCTGTAATTGAAATTCATTAATAACAAACACTTGTATCAAGTTGTAAATAAAATGATAACAACTACTATTCACTAAGTTTTTAGCCAGGTAATTATATTTCAGTAGGATTATTTAGTTATTAGTAATTACTAGTCTCACTAGTGGCTGGCTTCAAGAGGTATATACTGGAGTTCTAGTGGGAAGCAGTGACCAGTGAAGTTCAACCGTGTCTCTTATGAGATAGTAACTCACTGATGACGATAGTGGATGTGGATTAGTTGAAGTTAAAAATTAACACCGCTGGATACCGGCAGACTCAGTGGTCTAGTGGTTAAGCGCTCGCGCCCAAGACTGATAGGCCCTTGGTTCGAATTCCAAGAGGCGGTGTCGTGGGTGCGCACTGCCGAGGAGTCCCACAATAGGATGAAACGTCCATCCAGTGCTTCCACTTTTTCCATGGTGGTCTGACTTCAACTGACTCATGATCTCAACTAATGATATTAATTATAAGTTGACTAGAGAAAAAAAAGGTTCTCAAAAGATATCAATAAAAAAGTAATTCACAATGAAAAAAATAATAAAATGTATTTAGATAGATTAAAAGACATTGATGAAAACCAATCATTCACTTGCCTTGTACTGTTAAGACTGCTGTTTGACTTAGATATTGTTGTCGCATAAAATTCACTTGACATACATACGAACCTTCATCTGATAGTTCTACATTCATTATTTGTAGATCATATTGTCCTAAAGAAATAGAATAAATATCATTGTGAAGGTTAAAAGTATTAGTTGATACAGTGATATACATAGCTGTAAATCACTGAATTAATTTATAGTCCTAATATACTTTGAGTATGTAATATTATCAAGCTAACTACAAAATTAACGATCTGGAATTAGATGCTAGATAATTGTGAATATTAAGAACATTATTTTTTACTTGTATACAATGAAATTAAATTACTGATATGTCTTTTATGCAATTACTTCTGTGTAAACTTACATCAATAGTATAGTTTAGCCAATACTTATTATATGTACGATACATAATGAAATTCATGAATGTACGTCTCTTTGTAAAAAATGTTATCCAAAGTTAGTGTGTTGATGATGTCTAGAAAGAATGATGGATGCTATGGAATTCAATAAACCAGCTAAGTAAATGGACCATCATCTAAATAAAAGTTTCCAAATTTTTAATTCATTATAACTTCAAGAATTATTTGTGATAGCAATAAAATTTTAATTGATTAAACAGATATCATTCGTTATTTTAAAAGAAACAAAATACTACTTGAAGTAACAATCATAATTTTACAATCCATATTGGATGGACTTCATTTCAAAATATGTTTTACAGAATATATATTTTAGTCACTAACTTCTAGTCTTAGCCATGTTAGTAGATGCAGACGACTTGGTTGGGGTCGATGCGACTATCGTAATCAATGGTTGGAGACTCTGGGTGGCATGGCTTAGAATCGATAGCAATGGCGTAGATGTATACACTTTTCGCTTTATATCTCTATTTCTACGAATTAATTCTTCCTCCCGTAATATGTAATCATTCTTTTATATATTACTACCATTAAAGTAACTGCTTCTATGAATTTGTTGTTTATCCTGTTGTGTTAATGAGGTGTGGCAACTTGGATTGATGCATACATGTGCCTGATCATACGTTGTAACTGACTGACTTACTGACTTAGTTATAAAATATATTTCATAATTGAATCATTCTAAGCTATTAAAATTCATTAATACCAATCTGTTCAAATTTTAGTCTGGATTAATTTTTCTATTTTTTAACTAAGTATTAAAAAAATACTGTAGTAATCCAAAAGAGAGGGTACTTTTCAACACAAAATAAATAGAAGTTATAGAGTTTTTATTTATTTAGAATTCATGTAGAGGTAAACAAATAAAAGAACGTACGTAGTAATAAAAGTATTTACATATAACAAAGTTTATGGGTTTCAGTGTTTATTATTTTAAGACAATATAGAAATCGATTTTTTACCGACTTAATTGCACAATTTACATTCTAATGATGTTAAACCCTTCATGAAAACTAATAAAAAGCTATTTCTTTTGAAAAGCTATTGTTTCCAAATTCTCAGGGGATAGTTTTGTCCATAAGATGAAGAATAAAAACTATATACTGTCATAGTTTTTCAGTTTTTTCTTTCAACAATGTAGACCAACTACAAATTAGTGGGAGGTTGAGTCATCTAGCATAATAACCATTTAACTTATAGTATTTTGTCAGAGATAAATAATAAGGATCATTTTATGTATTTCTGAATTGTTTTTTCTCTTGCAATAAGTGATGGTATGGTAGTAGTCGCTTTAATATATTTTACTGTTATACAACAGGCATAGATTACATGAAATATCATCTTACCATTTTTTTTCTTAAATTTTTTCTGAAATAATTGCCTATCACATGTCATTTATAAGTACGTGCAAAAGCAAATAAGCGAGATGAATAAAGACAATAGCACCTAAATGTTATATTAAGCATATAATAAAGTATGTTAATCTCAGAGGTCAAAATAATAAGGATAGTCCCATTGAACATCAATTACTAGGCAAATGACATGAAATAGGTATGAGAAGTATATTACAACTGATCAATGAAATGTATAATTCCACTCTGTTGAGATTCCCAACAACTATAACTATCATGATGCTAAATCTTGACCATTTCGCCTAAAATAAAGCAGTGGTCTTGCTGACTGAAAACATTTCCTTATCTATTTTCAAGATGTCATTGTAGTTTAATAAGTTTGATTCAAAATAATTTTCAGTCCTGTTTCATTTTTGACACATAACAGCCTCTAAATTGAAATATTACTATTTCCTTTGTTATAAATAGATTTTCTTTTCATTTATGTTTTCTAATATTTCTTTAACTGATTTCTTCAGTCCGTTGTTAAAATTATCTGTATTATGTAAAAAAGGGTAACTCTCCACAAAATATCGAATTCAATCAATCAACTTCGTAAATAACCTCTGTTTTGTTTTAATGATTGGAACAGTTTGTCATGTTTTAAATACAAAAGTTTTAAACATGTTTTTAAAAATAAGTTGAAAACAATCAAAGGAAACGTTTTTTCATGTCACACTAATTGTTTTTGTAAACAAATAAAAAGGTTTATTGTAACATTTGACAAACTGTTTGCATCTTATTTCATATCGATCAACAGAACTTAAGCTTATGCGCTGCTAACGTTTTTTTTTAAATTCAACTGTTCGAACAAACATTGGATAATCAAGAATAATCATTTCCTGGAGTTCTACTGAGAAGCCATGATCAGTGCAGATCAATCCTTATCAGGTATTAAACAGTTATCCACCTCAGACAATGGATGAGGGGTTGAGCACGATCATGGACCGTGGTCCAGAGGTAAAGCGTTCGTGCGCGAGATCAAAGGACCTGGGTTTAAGTCCCGCGTGTGGGATTGTGAACGAAAAGGCTATTCAGTGCTTTCAGGTTTTCAATGGTGGCCTATCTTAGACTGACTTGTAAATTCAACTTTGAAGATATTGAATAGCTGACAAAATATTTGGGTATACAAACATAAGAATAATAATTACGATCTGTCTTATTTAAATAGTTATCTGAAATTGTATCAACTGAAAGAGATAAGCCAGCATGATCTTTGTCGATCTCAATCACCAAGCGTTAGATTCATTTTATACAACAGAAACATTATACATAACTGTGCGGTAATGATTTTTAGATTTTATTCATCTTCAGTATTCCATATCTTTCAATTTAACCTTGATTACATCATATCTCTTTAGAGCTTTTGTTACCTTCTGATTCTATCGGATTATTCTCTCTACAACGAAACTTAGTATAGTATAATCAGGTCATTTCACATATAATATCAGTAAAAAGACGATTTTTTTTCCTAGAACTAAAGTAAGTTACTGATAAATTTCCTTTACAATTTTGACATTTCCTAATGGTGACTTAATGAAATAGTCATCAGAGTTTTTGATTTTTGTGAGTTAATTCATATCAAATCTAGTTTAAGTAGGTGTGAATCAAGCAGCGAAAAAACGTTTTTTAAAGTTCATCAAAATGGTAATACAGGTGTATTTGCCCTGGGTAAAACATGTCCAAGAATTTTCATATAATCGTTTTACTTACATTATTTCAACAAAAAACACCAGTTAACAGAATTATTGGGGTGTTACTCACTGTTAACCACTCCTTCATTGATAAAGTGCTTCAAGATAACCAATACTTATATTACGTAAATACAATGTAAAGGAGCGGAAAACAGTTATTCATAGTCTTATGAAAGCTAGTCAACATTACCTTCAAACGTTAAAACTGAATAATATGTGGTATGATATAAGAAAATCTAGTCAACCTTTATGTTATCTTACTTATATTATGACGGGTAAACACGATAAAACTCTAAAAAATGAAGAGAATAATTTGCAACGATAAAATGTGCATATTGTCCTTAACTTCCATTATTTTTCATTGACGCAACACACGTCTATTTCGTTATATAAACTATTAGGTGTTAACTAACTATAAATTAGTTTGAATAGTGTTATTAAATGACATTATCGTAAAGAAAACTTTGTTTAATTATCTTTTTCTTTCTTAGTGACGTATTAGTTGTTTTTGTCGATTATAAGTGGTTCATTTCATTCATTAATTAAATACTACTTGTTATATTTCTACAATTCACTTATCTTTCAACTGGATAAAAAGAAATGATGTCTTAACTCAATGTGTTAATTTTACTGATTGAGATAATGGACCGATTGATGTTAGACCACCTTTGGAAACCTGGAGGCACTGGACGGTCGTTTCGTCCTATTGTGGGACTCCTCAGCAGAGAGAATCCACGATCCTGCTGAAGGGATTAGAACCCAGGTCTTTCAGTCTCGTGCGTGAACGCCCAACCTACCGGACCGTTGAGCCGTTATCCAATGGTGCTAATGTCTAACCACAACCAATTTTAGTATAATAATTACTCAATAATATACTTGTTTTATTTTCAGTTCGATACTTTTTCATATAACAATAAATTTATTACAGTGTACCACTCACCTTTGATAATATTCTTTGTATTAATTTTTTATGGACGTTGTTCAGCATAAAATATAACACTTGGTTTTGTAGCACTTCTGTGTATCGTCCCTATATGCATTATTTACTGGTTATTGTGTGTAAATTCGAAATAAATCTATTATCAGAAAGGGTAGACCTATTTTAGAGGATGAAATAAATCTTCTATATTAGCTTTGTCTCTTATTTTATCAGTGTACACCGAAGTGATTCGTTGCTTAAAATAATGTGCACGGATTTCCTAAGTCCAAGTATCAGCAGCTTCTGTGGCCATTAAATTTTAGTAACACGGCAACTAGTAATCATGAAACATATCATTTGTTAAGAGGAAAGATATTATTTTCATCAAAAGAGCTCGTTATATCACTTGATAAGTTTACTGATAAAGAATATACCAAATGTAGTAGACTTACTATTATTCTGTATGAAGTACTGTGATATTCAGTTTTTAGTTACAGTTCTCGAAAGGAGTATGGAATCTCTAACATATATCAAACTATCTTATTGGATTTTTTTCAGTTCTCTATTGATACTTATTAGTGATTGTGACTTACTCAGCAAATATATTTATTATCAGAAGAGGGTTTTGTGGAGATTTTAGTAGATTAATAGTTGAATTCATGAGTCAATTGAAGTTAGACCA